TCAAGCCACTGCACTCCAACCTGGGTGAAAGAGTGAAACTCTGTCTCAAAAAACAAAACAAAAGAAACAGAAAAACAGCTTTCAGAAGTAGAAACGGGCCAGGCATAGTGGCTCACAGCAGTAACCCCAGCTACCTCGGAGGCCAAGGCAGGAGGATCGCTTGAGCCCAGGAGTTTGAGACCAGTCTGGGCAACACAGGGAGACCCCATCTCTACAAAAAATACAAAAGTTAGCCAGGTGTGGTGGCGTGTGCCTGTAGTCCCAGCCACTTAGGAGTTTTTTTTTGAGATGGAGTCTCACTCTGTCGCCCAGGCTGGAGGGCAGTGGCGCGATCTCAGCTCACTCCCAGGCGCAAGCGATTCTCCTGCCTCAGCTTCCCAAGTAGCTGGGACCACAGGCGCGTGCCAGCATACCCAGCTAATTTTTGTATTTTTAGTAGAGATGGGGTTTCACCATGTTGACCAGGCTGGTCTCGAACTTCTGACCTCCTGACCACCCACTTTGGCCTCCCAAAGTGCTGAGATTATAGGCGTGAGCCACCCCGCCCGGCCTGTATCAGGCATTCTTTTAGGGCAGAATTTTTCCTGCTCAGTACTGTGGACATTGGGACCAGATTGTTCTGTGGATTGGGGCCTTCCTGGGCACTGCAGGGTGCTGAGCAGCGTCCCTGGCCTCCACCCACTCCATAACAGCAGTATCCCCCAGTCGCAACAATCACAAATGTCCCCAGAAATCGCCCGGTGTCTGCTGGGGGCAGGATCAATCCCCCCGCTCCTGCCAGGTGAGAACCACAGGTCTAGAGGTTAAAGATACAAAATTGTGGATCTCTCATCTCACATGAAGCTTACATTACAGGTGACAAAGGGACAGATAAACAAAAACATATGCAAAGCAACACATGGTGCCAAGTACTATATATGTTTGCTATAATTTTATTGAAGATTTTTGTGGCTAGGCACTGTGGCTCACACCTGCAATTACAGAACTTTGGGAGGCCAAGATAGGAGGCTTATTTGGGCCTGGGAGTTTAAGAGTAGCATAAGCAACATAGGCAGTGGCTCATGCCTGTAATCCCAGCACTTTGGGAGGCCGAGGTAGGTGGATCACCTGAGGTCAGGAGTTCAAGACCAGCCTGGCCAACATGGTAAAACCCTGTGCCTACTAAAAAAAAAAAAAAAAAAAAAAAAAAGTTAGCCAGGCCTGGTGGTGCACACCTGTAATCCCAGCTACTTGGGAGGCCAAGGCAGGACAATCACCTGAACCTGGGAGTCAGGATGCAGTGAGCCGAGATCACACCACTGTTCTCCAGCCTGGGCAACAGAGCAATACACTGTCTCAAAAAAAAAAAAAAAAAAAAAAGGAAACGAGAGGAGAGGAGAGGGGAAGGAAGGGAGAGGAGAGGGAAAGGACAGGAGGAGAGGAGAGGGAAGGGGAGGGGAGGGGCAGGGAGGGAGGGGAAAGAAAAGAAAAGAAAAAAGAGAGAAAGAATTGAATGAATAAATAAATAAATGGAGGCAAACAGACAAATGTCTTACTTAGAAGAATTCCTAATTTGTGTAGCTACACTGCCCTTAAGGAGATAGAGGGTAACTCTACACCTCTTGAGTGTGGGCTGTGCATAGTGACTTCCTTCCCAAGAGTGCAGCATGGGAGGAGAGGGAGAGTCACTTGACAATATTGAAACCTGACAAGCAGCCGAGCGTTTGGCGGTCCCGCAGATCTGTCTCTTGCTTCAACAGTGTTTGGACGGAACAGATCCGGGAACTCTCTTCCAGCCTCCGACCACCCTCCGATTTCCTCTCTACTTCCAACCTCCAGGACCATCTTCTCAGTCATCTCCTGCTTCTCAGACCAGTCAACACCGTTTCTGTGGTTAGCTCCTTCTTGCCGACCAACCGTGTGCTCCCAGATTCGTCAGAATTATTCCACCACCTGGTCAATTTGCACCTGCGGGCCTCCTACACCTCCTCCCTCCGCGCTTCTATTTCCACCACCATGATGTGGCTCCGGAAGGCGGGGGACACTTCTTCCATGAATTGGCCAAGGAGAAGCGCAAGGGCGTTGAGCGCCTCCTGAAGATGCAAAACCAGTGTGGTGGCCCTGCTCTCTTCCAGGACTTCCAGAAGCCAGGTCAAGATGAGTGGGGTAAAACCCTGGAAGCCATGGAAGCCACCATGGCCCCGGGAATGGCATGGCAACCAGGGTCTTTTGGATCTTCATGCCCTGGGTTCTGCCCCCACAGACCCTCATCTCTGTGACGTCCTGGAGAGTCACTTCCTAGATGAGGAAGTGGGCCGCGCGCGGTGGCTCACACCTGTAATCCCCGCACTTTGGGAGGCCGAGGCGGGCGGATCACCCTAGGTCAGGAGTTTGAGACCAGCCTGGCCGACATGTCAAAACCCCAACTCTACTAAAAATACAAAAATTAGCCAGGCATCGTGGTGCACGCCTGTAATCCCGGCTACTCAGGAGGCTGAGGCATGAGAATCGCTTGAACCCTAGAGGCAGGGGTTGCAGTGAGCCGAGATCACGCTACTGCACTCCAGCCTAGGGAATAGAGTGGGGGGTCTTTGAACGCTAGACTCCAAAAAGCATCATAAAAAAAAGAAGAAGAAGAAGGTGGATGACCCCCTGACCAGCCTCCGCAGGCTGGCCGGCCTGGAGGCTGGGCTGCATATCTCTTCGAAAGGCTCACTCTCTTTTTTTTTTTTTTTTGAGACAGAGTCTTGCTCTGTTGCCCAGGCTGGGGTGCAGTGGCCGGATCTCAGCTCACTGCAAGCTCCGCCTCCTGGGTTTACGCCATTCTCCTACCTCAGCCTCCTGAGTAGCTGGGACTACAGGCGCCCGCCAACCCGCCTGGCTAGTTTTTTTGCATTTTTTAGTAGAGACGGGGTTTCACTGTGTTAGCCAGGATGGTCTTGATCTCCTGACATTGTGATCCGCCCGTCTCGGCCTCCCAAAGTGCTGGGATTACAGGCTTGAGCCACCGCGCCCGGCCAAGGCTCACTCTCAAACACGTCTAGGAACCTACTGAGCCCAGCAACTTCTGAAGGGCCCCTCGTAAAGTAACAGGGCTTCTGCCTAAGCCTTTCCCTCCAGCCACTAGGCAGTTTTTTTGTTTATTTGTTTGTTTGTTTGTTTTGTTTTGTTTTGAGATGGAATCTTGCTCTGTCGCCCAGGCTGGAGTGCAATAGCACAATCTCAGCTCACTGCAACCTCCGCCTCCCAGGCTTTGGCGATCCTCCGACCTCAGCCTCCCGAGTAGCTGGGATTATAAACGCACGCCAGCACACCCGGCTAATTTTTGCATTTTTAGTAGAGACGGGGTTTCACCATGTTGGCCAGGCTGGTGTCAAACTCCTGAGCTCAGGTGATCCACCCGCTTCCATCTCCCAAAGTGCTGAGATTATAGGCGTGAGCCACCGCACCCGGCCCAGTCTATGGTACTTTGTTGTAGCACCCTGAACAGACTAAGATGCCCACTTTGAACACTAGACTCCAAAAAGTATCATCGTGGGCTTCTGTTAGATGGGCGTGGTAGCAGGTGCCTCAGGAAGTTGAGGCGGGAGGATCACTTGAACCCAGGAGGCAGAGGTTGCAGTGAGCCAAGATCACACCATTGCACTCCAGCCTGGGTGACAGAGCCAAACCCCCTGTCTCCAAAAACAAAAACAAAAACAAAAAAACAAACAATAAAAAACACATAAAAGGGGTCGGGCGCCTGCGTGTAATCCCAGCACTTTGGGAGGCTGAGGTGGGTGGATCACCTGAGGTCACGAGTTCAAGACCAGCCTGGTCAGCATGGTGAAACCCTGTCTCTATTAAAAAAGACAAAAATTAGCCAGGCGAGGTGGTGGGTGACTGTAGTTCCAGCTACTCAGGAGGCCAAGGCAGGAGAATTGCTTGAACCTGGGAGGCAGATGTTGCAGTGAGCTGAGATCGTGCCATTGCACTCCAGCCCAGGTGAGAGAGTAAGACT